GAAAACATTAGGACATGGCTCAAACGCTGTGGGACGTCCCCTTTCAGTTGTATTTGTGAACAGAGTCCTTACTGAAGGAGTTTTGTGGACGTCACCTAAACACACGTTTCCTACTATGACCCATCCTAGGTCCAATTTTTGAGCATAGGGTGCGTTGTTAGGGCCACTTATCTGTTTGCAGACTTTGTGAGCTCTAATAACATCTCGTCCAAGAAGCATTAGTATGGGGGCGGAGTCCAAGGCAGGAATTAGGTGAGCCACTGACTTTAGATGGCTGTGATGTCTAGCTGCACTGGGTGTGGGGATCTCGTCTCTGTCATTTGGGATATTTTTACACTCAATTAGGCTAGGCAGTGGGATGTGGACTGAACCATCTAAAGCTGCCACTACATAACCTGTAGCTCTTCTACCCATTGTTTCTTTGGTACCTGCACATGTCTTAAGCGAGTAAGGAGAACTAGGGCCACAGTCATTAAACAACTCGAAGAACTCAGGCCATAGTAGTGATATGTTACTTTGTTCATCATGGATGGCATAAAGCCTTACTGCTTGGTGTGGGCGGCCTGCTGGGTAGACATTAACGAGACAGATTTTAGAACAAGATCTGCCTGCTTCGTTCACACCACAAACCTGAGTGCATTTAGAAGTGATCTCCTCGGATTCAATGGTGTCAGGCTCCCCGCCATGCTCTGCTGCCGGTTCGGTTTCTTTTAGCCAGGGAGCTGGTCCTGGGTGCAAAGCCGTGCAGTGTCTCTCATCACTGCACTCAGCACACTGTACTTTGGCCTTGCAGTTCTTTGCTATGTGTGAAGATGAGGCACAGCATCTGAAGCAAAAGTCGTTCTCTTTTGAGAACGTTTTCCTGTCTAACAGTGTTTTCATGCGAAATGCTCTGCACACTGAGAGAGGATGGGCTTTCTTGTGGATTGGACAAAGCTTTTCGCCATCTACAATTTTGTTCAGGGACCTCTGAGTGTCTGAACTAGATCGAGAGACAACATCAGTTTTGTGTACAGAAATCTCTTTTTGTCTGTTTGCCCTCCAAGGTAATTTGTCTGGTCTGGGTGCATCAGGTGATGGTGTTAGATTAAAGCTGGGGTCGTTTCTAGCATCAGCTTCTTGCGCAACAAAATCTACTAGAACACTAAATGGTGGGAAGGAGACACATTTTGTGCGTTTGTAGTTGGCGCCGACCGTGATCCACCTTTCTTGCAGGTAGAAGGGGAGTTTTTGAATAATTGGATTTACTCCTCTTGCTGTATCTAAGAACGCGAGACCGGGGAGGTCTCCTCCAGCTTTAGCACACTGCACTTCCATGAGCAGGTCACTAAATTTTCTCAGTTTTGCAAAGTCTTTGGATGAGATTTTTGGGAATGTATCAATTCTTTTAAATAGTGCATCCTCAATCACTTCAGCTGAGCCGTAACATTGTTCAAGTCTGTCCCATATCATGTTGAGGCCATTAACTGGGTTGTTGATGTGTATGGCTCTGAATTGTTCTGCATGTTCAGCCGATTCCTTGCCAAGCCATTTTAACATCAAGTCCATTTCTTCACTTGCCGTTAGATCTAACCCACTTATAGCATTTTTAAATGAGCGTTTCCAAGCTCTGAAGTTTTGGGGCTTGTCATTAAACTGGAGTAGCCCTGTTGCCACTATTTCACGACGAGCAAAGTATCTGATGAAGTCACTCACATTTGATTCTCTAGGCTCTTTGTATAAAGGTCTAGCATCATGGGAGCTAGATGCTGACACCTGATTTGACCAATTGGTACTGTAATTTTTATCAGCATGAGAAGGGAAAATGACTGGAGAGTTTTGGCCACAGTCTGGATCATCTGGTAGACCAACTGGAATTTTTTGTGGGTCATTATCTTTTTTAGGGTTTGGTGGCTGATCACAGGTGAGCTCTGGTTTACTTTGTGTTACATTTTCCCCTTGTGATTGTTGAAGAGCATAATCATTTTCCTTTTTCACAAATGCAGATTGGCCAATGACATATTGTTTAGTTATTTCTGCTGTTACTGAGGGACAGATGTTGCTGCGTGTTTCTGTCTGTGTGGCAGCAGCTGCTTCTAATGACTCTGCTTCAGCAATGGCTGACGCTACATCGTTTTCATGCTGTAAATATTCGATGGATGCCTCAACTTTAGCTTTTGCTACTTCTATTTGTGCTTTTTCTACCTTCAAATCTATTTCTTTAGCTGCGAAGCGGAGACGTGCTTTGGCTGCCTCAGCTTTTGCTCTGGCTTTGGCTGCTGCAGAACCCGTAGAGGAGGCGCACGAAGCTTCGGACCGGGTCTTGAGGGATGAAGCCTTGCTGGACATGTTGGAGTTGACTAGGTGACGACTGCTGGCTCACCGTTGCATGCCGTGTTGCTCCGAGGCGTAGTAGTGGTCAGCTTCACTCTAGCGTGCGATGACTGCATTATCTTTGTTCGTGCGGATGCCGCCGTTTTACTGTGCCGTTATGGGTGCATGTCTGATGCAGGGGCCTTAACACCTTTCTTATATCACCACTCTGAAGACTGATGAGCGTTGTCAACAGGTTTACTGACACTAGCCACGTTTACATGCGCATATTTAATCGGATTGAATTCCCATTCAGATGGAAAATTCTGCATGTAAACATGTCAATCAGAATATTCTGATCCGATTCGGCCCGATCGGATTGAAATTTCAATCCGATTGAGAGAGGTGGTTTATTCCGTTCTTCATTCCGATTGACGTGCATGTGCACAGCCATTCGGATTGTTGGGGTAAAACAATGCCCACTGCGCATGTGTGCAACAGCCAGCGGGCCTCTCCGCTGTCATTTGGACTGCCTGACTTCAAAAATGACGGTGTAATTAACGAGCGGCGGCTTTTAAATCCGACAACAAGCCGTCCCGTTTCAGTAATATTTAATTCAGAACTTGCATTTTGTGGAAGTAAAATAAAAATCTGATTATTGCACAAATCATTCGACAAAGATGTTCAAATCTTTACTGGAAGTACGCAGGTTTATCGCGGGGGTTGCAGCGCACGGATCCCCGTTTCTGTCAGCTTTGAACACAGCAGCTTCTGCAGCAGGTGATGGAGACACGCTTGTAAAGAACACAGGATAATCTGGGTTTTACAGACCTGATTGGAGGCTGATGTTGGGTAGGAAAACGTCCTCGGTTAAATACTCTGGACGACAGTAAAGTCCGTGTTCGTTAAAAGCACGTAAACGCAGATGACCTGAGATGCGGTTCGTTAATGATGAACACAGGCTTCTAAACTTTCTGAACATCTTCTGTTATTTTGTTTGAACAGATTTTTCTCAACAGTTTCAGCTGATCGTCACATGTTATTAATAATAAGCCACAACAGAGCTCAGTAATAAAACATGAGGCTAACCCCCCCCCCCCCCCCCACCCCCCCCCCCCCCCGCTCTGTGGCGCAGCGCAGCGCAACAGCTGTCGATTCAGACCCGCGGACCAGCTGATCAAGAGGCAGACATAACCCTCCCTTATTTTAATCAACAATAAAATGCAGCAAAGCATATATGTGCAGTTATTCACTGAAGAAAACGTAACTTCTATGAGCTAAATAAAAATATTAAATTGAATAAATGGATCAGGAAAGCAGGAAGAATAGTTATTTCTGTTTTTACATTTTTCTTTTCGTTTCATGGCGTTTGTTTACAATTTTTCTTTCGTGAAAGGCAACTCTGCGCATGCTCAACCTATTTAATCGGATTAAATGCTTGGTGCATATGTACGCACGGCATGATCGGATCATTTCAGTTCGTGTCCATGTGAACAGAGATTCGGAAATTCCGATCAACCAAGATTTCAATCGGATTGAGGAAATTAGGCACATGAAAACGCAGCTATTGAAAAGGGTAAAACTAAAAACAAGACAAAAAAATACAGTTATGATATACATATGTAAAGCATAATATGCATTTATATACCACACTGCTACTACACAGTATATGTCACAGGTCTAATTATGAGAACTTGTGCTACTGACGCTATCCAGACAACCTCCAAAATCGCGGGTAACTAGCTTAACAAAAAGACTAGTTTGAAGCTAAATACAGCATTAGCGGGCAACATATAGCACAAAAAACAAAGTTGCAACTTATACTTTAAGTACATACCGGCGATACAACCATAAACAGAAGATGTAGACAGTGTTTTTTTTCCAACAGGACACCATAAACTGTGTGCCGATATGTTTCCTTTCTTCTTGCTCACTTGCTTTACTAGACTGAGCGGACTTCCTGTTCAATAAAGTTATTTCAAAATAAAGCCGTTTCTAAAGTGCACCACTCGAAGAAACCACAGAGGGTGCTGTAAACACATAATGAATAACCACTGACTGAGAATGACATTTTAGTGATACAACATTTTTACAACTTTTAGTGAAAACAGAACACACCCTTCTACATAAACATCCAGGGAGAGTTTTTAGATTTCTGTCTTCAAGGCCAACATCGGGGAGCATATTTGTTTTGGTACAGGCTAGAACTTGTTGTTCTGTCTTCTGTCCCTCTGCTGGTCTCGAGGCCACTCCAAACAACCAACGCAGCACAACAGCATGTGAAATTGATGGTGATGGCAAACCAAGTGGATAAACAACAGAGGACAGCTGTTGTGGTTGATGTAACAATACCAAATGATGGCAACATCAGGAAAAAGAAACACGCAAAACTACAGGAGTACCTGGAAAGAAGAACTTGAGATATCCAGAAGAGTGAAGACGTCGGTGTTGCTCCTGGTTTCATGTTTGGACTGTTTTCAGAGGCATTTGAGACCCAAATGGCAGCACAAAAAAAATTCTAAAAGTCAGATTTGCATAATTTGTCCCCTTTTAAAGAAATTTGACAGGAGCTTTACACAGGATAAACACTTACTATAGAAACTTAATTTCTGTTTCTGTGAATGAGAGTCGAACTTATTCTTAAAAAGAATAAATTAAGGAATAAAATACTCAAAGTGTTCACTGGAGTTTTGCTAATCTGATTTTAGCTTCTGAAATTTGTTCCTGAGAAGAGTGACATCGAACTTTTAGAAGAACACAAACACGAGCTGGACCGTATGGCTAAAGCGGACCGATTCCTGTACGACGTGAGCAGGTACATAAACACACACACACACACACACACACACACACACACACACACACACACACACACACACACACACACACACACACACAATTTAAATGCTTGTGTGGACCTTCATTGACTCCTTGTTCCCATTAGGGGTTGTACGAACTAGTCGACTAGTCTACTAGTCGACTTCACGGCTCTGTAGTGACTTTTTATGCCTGTCATCAACTAGTCGCTGTCACGTGATAATGACTGACAAGATGCAGACCTCGGAAAAGACAGCAGGTGATGAGCCCCTGCGCGTCTGGATCAAGGCGGAGGCGACAGCGCTGTGCGCGTCGGTACCGACACCGGCGGTAAAACGGACATTTAACCAAACTGTGACCTTTTCCCTCTTGCAATTTTACCTTCCCCTCACCCCCACCAGTTTGCGCATGCAAAGCTCTGATCGCTGACGCACGCTCCAGACATCTGCGTCCTGAGCACGGCCAAATCAGTGTCACCACCTTAAAAACAAATTAAACACGCGATCGTTCATGTCGGCTCATTTCCTTTCATGTTTTCTGTCTGTTATTTGTGCCTGATGCATTTCGCTGCTGCAGAGCGAGGCGCATCACCTGTTGTCCTCCGGTGACGCACCCCCAAGATTCCACTATCTCCGCTCTGCTCCGGCATGAACTCCGCAGCAAAAACAGTCCCGTTGTAGTCGGCCGGCGAGCAGCGGCACTCCGCTGTTTTTGCGGTCGGTAGATCTTTTAGAACTGCAGTTCAAAGGTAACTCATGAGGTGAATATATATGAACGCAGGTAGCAGTTTCTCTTTAGGATTGAGAGGAGATGCAGGAAGATAATAAACAGACAGGACAGAAAAATAGTCAAATAAAAACAAGTTAGTTTTTGTACCTGCTGGTTGCAACAAACAGACACCATTGAAGGTAATCAGAAGTGAGGAACAGAAAATGAAATAATTATTTTAATGTTTAGAGCAGCAGGAACTCCGAGAGGCTGCAGGCGAAACAGTTTGCGGCTGCTGCGCAGGGGGAGGGGGGAGAGGACTGAAGTAGGATGCAGAAACTACCGTTGTTAAAACAGATGTGTTAACTTAGAAAATGTGGGCGCAATTTTAATTGTCAAAAACTCCAGCGAACCTACCGACACCCCCCCCCCCCCCCCCCCGCCGCTTCAGGTGCATGACGTCATCAACGACTAGTCGAAGTCGACTCGACTTTCATTACTTGACTGTCGACTTTAACAAAAATTAAGTCGTGCAGGCCCTAGTTCCCATGCAGAAGACGAGACTACACTCTGAAAAAAAGCTTATCTTTTCCTGGCTCATAAAAGACTTTAAAACTTACTACAATCATATTTTGTTGAATGAACAATTTGTTTAAATCCCAGAAATAAATAAATCCAAAGTGTTTTAATGTGTCCCGTACTTTACATTAATGAAAGATGGGTTAAAATGAATAAGTCTCCTGTAATGAGTCATTTCAGATCTTCATTTAAACCAGATTAGTAATTGTTGATTTTAATTTTAAACAGCATATTCACATTTCATTATTATTATTATTATTATTGTATTCTTGGAGAAGTTTTCCTTTTAGGCTTCTCTGTTTATGTGTCACTGTTGTGAAGCAATTCTCCGCCAGGACAACAGGGGGCATAGCTCTTTTACTGCCATCACTACATTCACGTCTCTAGTGTGTTTACAGTGTGTTTACAGTGTGTTTACAGTGTGTTTACAGTGTGTTTACAGTGTGTTTACAGTGTGTTTACAGTGTGTGCATGTATTTCAGAGACATTTTAATGACTTCAGTCACCAGCTCCAAACCCTTGTTTCCCATTATTTCCTGACACAAATAAAAAGTCGTCTGTGTTACGTCCCCGACAGGGGGTGCTAAAATGTGAAGGGGGGGTAACGTAAGAAACATGATAGTGGGTTTGAAATGGGTTTAATTGTCATAAAAAGGTTCTAAAAAATGCAAACAGATGGCGAGCATTATTAAAATAATGCCAAACGAAAAAATTCTCAAAAAGGTTAACGGTTAAAAGACAACTTGTCAACTATTAAAACCATGGTTAAAACTTTATTAAAACGTTTCACCGAACTGAAGGTGTTTTAAAAACACAACGAAGTGAATAAAAGTCTTAAAACCAGAACAGAGTTAACCTTTAAAATCCCAAGTCCAGAGGTTAAAAACTCATTACAAACAAAGGGGTTGAAAACAAATTGAGGCGTGGAGGACAGCAGAACCCTGCACTGCTGCCTCCCAGACTGCTGAAGGCACAGCCTTTTTATCCCAGGTGTGGGTCATCAGCAGGATTCATCTAGGCCTCTGACTAGCACATCACCCAGACTCCCTGGGGTGCTCCCCAGATGTTGTCCACAGGGACACCAACACTACCCTCCTCACCGCAACACTAGGTAAAAACAGGTCTCTCAACAGGGAGAGCCTCTGAGCCTGCCGGCAGGGGGACATTTCTGGATCCAACATGTCCTCTCCTCATGCTGGGCTGGATCAGGCTTGTAGGCTCTGAGAGCCCATCCAGCAGTGGATCCTCCGGCGGGGGCGGGGCCTCCAGAAGCACTCGCCAGTCAGCCACAAAGCCATCTGTTGCTTAAAACCTTAAAACAAATAAAACACCATTAAAATACCACCACCCAGGGATTTTGTACATTCCTTCACGGTCTGATGTAGTTAAAATGTCCCGGACAAGCCCCAATTTGTTACGTCCCCAACATGTGTTGTTAAAATGGGAAGGAGGGGGTAACATAAGAAATGTGACAGTGGATTTAAAATGGGTTTAACTGCCATAAAAGGTTTTAAAAACAAGCAAGCAAACAGATGGAAAGCATTATTAACATAATGCCTAACAAAAATCAAGACTAAAAGGTTAACATTTAAAGGACGAATTATCAACATTAAAACCCCTGGTTAAAACTTTGTTAAAAGTTTTACCGAAACAGAAGGCATTTTAATCCATGCCCTGGGTGGCATTTTGGCAGTGAAGGTGCCTATTGGGGCCAGTGGGGGAGCTTCCACTTCCAATTTTAAACTGCACTTAGACACAGAGGGCTGTGGGGGGAAGAGGGGTGGTGTGGTGGCATCAGCTGGCGTAGACCAGACGATGCCTGCACTGCCCACTCACCACAGCCACGAATACACCTCATCAACACACACCAACACAGTATTGGAGCAGGCGGAAGGAGACTAGGGGTCTTAGCATCACCTCTGTTGTCGCTTCGCTTCCTGGGGCTGGAGGCTAGGAGGGAGATCTGGCCGTCTGGCTGGGGTCTGGGCTGGTGGGTTGCTTGGCTCAGCGTTGGGGTTAGGGTTAGGCTGCTCTTCAACACCCCAGCAGAAAGGGTCAAACTCCGGGAACTGGTAATGGTTGTACCCTTGTGCAGCAGTGTCGGGACCAGAGTGAATAGGGTGTGTATGGGGAGCATGAGTGGGTGTTTGAAGTGCATTTTTGTACATCTTAGATTGTATGTGCATGTGTGAGCATGAGGGAGGGAGTGTGTGACTGTGTCTGTGTATGACTGTATATGTCTGGTGGGGCCTTTGACTCCTCCCCTCTCCTGGGACTTCTTTTGCTGCTATTGACCCTTTGCACGTGACGTCATGCCACTGTAGCGTAATGGCTTATGGCTCTTTTATTAAAGAGGAACCATTCTACATATTAATTCGGAATATTAATTTTAATAAATTAATAACCAAATTTTATAGAAATAAGAAGACTCAAGTTGTTTTCATCGATAAACTGACGATCATATCCGTGTGTCTGTGTTTCAGTTCAATGAAGAGACAAGTTTGAAAGTTAAGAATTTAATTCTTCAATTTAAACTAATGATTTGAAATGACAATCATAGGAAAAATAATCAACATTGGCAACCTTGTTGGACAATCTTTAACAGTTGATATTTTAAGCTTGCACAAATAGACCTTGTGTTGGATGTGCTAAGATTTGAGAATGATGGAATTATGACTGCGTGCATGTATGTGTGAGATTGCTTCAGGGAGAGAAAAGGCGAATCTGAATGAAAATGATGGTTTGAATTAAACTTAGTTCTTATTAGAAAAGATGCATCACAACGCTATCTGGTCGTGTGCTGCCTCACCGTACGAGGACCCCCTTTCAGACCCGGATCCCAGGAGGGTGTGTACTCCAGATGACACCTTGGCTGGCAGAGGAGACGAAGGTGTGCTGGCGATCCGGTCCAGAGTTGCCCCCCCGGTACACGTTGTTGACGCGTTCGCAGATGCGCTTTCTCAAGTTTAAATTAACTTAGAACTCAAAGACTCTGGACGAGTCTGCGTTAGCTGGTTGCATTTCAGCTATTCTGTCTGGCCTGACAGAAATAGCATGGGGGGGGGACAGGAGGCTGCAGGCTCCCTTCCCCGTGGTGTTCGTTCAGCACGTCCGCTCTCTCTCGTTGTCAAACTCGAACTGACTAACTTACCAAAAACCACTTCTCTTCCCAAAGCAAACTTGTGCGTCAGCAAATGTGTTTTGAGTTACTGTGAGAGTGTGTGTGTGTGTGTGAAGGTCATTATAACATCTTCAAACATTATTTAATTAAGTATTGATTCATTATAGTTCATTATGATTACCCAAAGCATAATAATCATTCATTTGATTAAAACACATTTATAATGAGCAAAATGATAAAATGATTATTTAACATTTAATATAATGAAAAGGAAGTTTAAGACTTTGTTTTGTTATGACTAGATTTCATGAGACCTCCTTTTTCTGGCACTGCAGGTGTTAGATGTTGTGGTTTCTTCCAGACTTGCTGGCGTTCAGGTCTTAATCTGTGGGTGAAAGTTCTGAGCGACCCAGCCCTGACCCAGCCGGGCAAATACAACCTTTGGCACAGAAAAACCCATATTTCCTCACGCTACACCACTAATGTGACCGCCCCATTCGCCATGACGGACGGCAAAAGGGTTAGCCAGTTTGTAGCCTTTTATGGCTTTTATTTAGTTTATTTGACAGTAAAATGGTTTTAGCTTGCTGCGTGGTCGGCTGCACTAACAGACAAGGGCGTAAACTCACCTTGTTTTGTTTTTTTAATAACTTTGATGGAGACTGATGACGGAGATGAATTACAGCGATCAATCAAGCAGGCTAGCAGGCCTCAGATTTGCAGCGAACGTGTTTTTAGCGGGTAAGATTAACGTTCATTTATTTCCCGAGGAAGACAGGGACAGGGATAAATGTGATGTGTTTATACTAGTTATTGATAATCCTGATGGATAGGTATTTCAATTCAATTCAATTCAAGTTTATTTATATAGCGCGAAATCACGACAAGAGTCGTCTCAAGGCACTTCACATAATAAAAATTCCAATTCAGGTCAGTTCATTAAGCCAATCAGAAATAATGTTTCCTATATAAGGAACCCAGCAAATTGCATCGTCACTGACTAGTGCCAGTGACTATACAGCAATCCTCATACCAAGCAAGCATAAAGCGACAGTGGAGAGGAAAACTCCCTTTTAACAGGAAGAAACCTCCAGAGAATCCTGGCTCAGTATAAGCAGCCATCCTCCACGACTCACTGGGGATGGAGAAGACAGAGCACACACACACACACGCACACGCACACGCACACGCACACGCACACACACACACACACACACACACACACACACACGCACACGCACACACACACGCACACGCACACGCACACACACACGCACACACACACGCACACGCACACACACACGCACACGCACACGCACACACACACGCACACACACACGCACACGCACACACACACACACACACACACACACACACACACACACACACACACACACACACAATGTGTCTACAGTTATATTGTGATGTCTCAGTAAATATTCTATTTGGTGAGAGATACACTTTATTGTATTTTTCCTAGTGGATCTATAATTAAACGGGTAAACTAGTAGTAGCACATCAAAAGTCAAGGAAACCAAAAAGTTATTATCAGGAGAGGGAGAATGTTTAAGTGGTTAGCAGCAGTGTGCTAGACGATGGCCCCCTCCATGAGGCCACCACAGCTCAGCAGAACATCGTTGTAGCTTCTTCTGGGGAGAAAAACACTTAGAGAGAAAATAAAGTTAACAGCTGAAATAGCAGGAAATAATACAGTTAAAGAGCAGACTGTAGAAGAAAGCAGTAGAGTGTGAAAAGTGGTCAGTGTATCCTCCAGCAGTCTAAGCCTATAGCAGCATAACTACAGAGATAACTCTGGATAATCTATCCTATTTAGATGTAGGCATGTTGGAGTCAGGGCAAGGGAGAGCCGTCTTTACCGACTGTACACTCCACCTCCCTCTACTCCCCCACTTGTCCAGATTTAGGCTCACATCAGATTTTAACCATAGGCCCTATCAAATAAAAATGTTTTGAGCCTATTCTTAAAAGTAGACAAAGTGTCTGCCTCACGGACTAAAGCTGGGAGCTGGTTCCACAGGAGAGGAGCCTGATAACTAAAATATCTGCCTCCCATCCTAATTTTAGATATTCTGGGAACCACCAGTAGACCTGCAGTCTGAGAGTGAAGTGCTCGGTTAGGAACGTATGGAACAATCAGATCACTGATGTATGACGGAGCTTGATTATTAAGAGCTTTATATGTGAGAAGAAGGATCTTAAAATCGATTCTGAATTTAACAGGTAGCCAATGTAGGGAAGCTAAGACAGGAGAGATATGATCTCTCTTTGTAATTCTCATCAGAACTCTAGCTGCAGCATTTTGGACAAGCTGAAGACTTTTAACTACATTCTGTGGACTTCCTGAGAGTAATGAATTACAGTAATCCAGTCTTGATGTAATAAATGCATGAACTAGTTTTTCAGCATCACTCCTGGAAAGGATGCTTCTAATCTTAGCAATATTCCGAAGGAGGAAAAAGGAAATCCTACAAACTTGTTTAACCTGGGATTTGAATGACATGTCCTGGTCAAAGATAACACCAAGGTTCCTTACTTTGTTCTCGGAGATTAATGTAATGCCATTAAGGTCAGGTGATTGGCTAAGCAATTTCCTTTTCTGGATTTCTGGTCCAAAGATGAGAACTTCCGTCTTGTCTTGATTTAAAAGCAAAAAGTTTAGAGTCATCCAATTTTTTATGTCCTCAAGACAAGCCTGTAATCTACCCAACCGATTAGGTTCATCAGGGTTAATGGATAAATATAACTGAGTATCATCAGCATAACAGTGGAAGTTTATCCCATGCTGTCTAATGATTTTACCAATTGGGAGCATATATATAGTAAAAAGAATTGGTCCAAGCACTGAACCCCGTGGTACTCCACAAGTAACCCTGGAGTATGAAGATTTGTCATATACATTTACAAAATGAAATCTGTCAGACAGGTAGGATTTAAACCAGCCTAGCGCTGTTCCTTTGATCCCTACAACATGTTCAAGTCTTTCTAAAAGAACATTGTGATCAACTGTGTCAAAGGCAGCACTGAGATCTAACAAGACTAGAACAGACACAAGATTCTTATCTGAGGCCATGAGAATATCATTTATAACTCTCACTAATGCAGTTTCAGTGCTGTGATACTCTCTAAAACCAGACTGAAATTCCTCAAACAGAGCATTAGTGTTTAAATGCGAACATACTTGGATGGCCACTATTTTCTCCAGGACTTTGGATAAAAATGGAAGGTTAGATATTGGTCTATAATTCATTGGGTCATCTGGATCCAGAGAAGGCTTCTTAAGTGAAGGTTTGATTACAGCAACCTTAAAATCTTGTGGTACATACCCATTTATTGATTATATCTAGAATAGGGTCAGTAACCAAAGGAAATGCATCTTTAAATAATTTGGTTGGGATTGGATCCAAAATGCAAGTTGAAGGTTTAGATGAAGCTAATATTTTTGATAACTCTGAAAGCTCAACTGGATCAAAACGGTTCAAGCACAGATGAGGTTCTACAGTCACCTCTGAAGCTGCCTCACTTACTGAGGAAGAAGAAATCGCATTAGGGAGGATGCTAAAGATTTTGTTTCTAATAGAATTAATTTTACTTCACCACCACGGAGGCTGCGCGCTGTCCACTGTTTTGTAAAGCGAGACAATTATTAACAATATTAAAGCTCCGATGTATGATTATGTGTGTTAAAATGACGTTATTTATTTATATGAGCGTCGGCGTTCAGAGATCTTCTCATTCCGGTGTGAGAGCAGCAGCTGGACCCGGTAACACCACCAGTAACAGAAGCTGGTAGGGATGCGGACTTTTTAACAATCAGCTTTGGTGTAAAGTGAAACGCTGTTTACAACATGAAGTTATAAATCCAGAGGGGTGAATTTAGGCAAAGTCAGCAACATGTTTACATCGGTGAACAGCTGCAGAGAGAACGTAAGCTAACGTTGGTAAGCTAGTTAGCATAGCGCTCTCTATGAGTCCCCGCTAGATGCGCTACTTCTTCTGATAACTGAACTGGGCATGAACTAGTTGAAGGAATGCTGGAGGAGTTTTGTTTTTGTTTTGATCGCAAAAACAATTTCAGGCTCTACTTTTCCCTTTGTTTAGTACTCGTGTCGCTCACTGTTTACATGCTTTTGCCGTCCACCATGGTGGACCCACGTGATTAGGTGATGTCGGTGCAAAGGGTCAATACATCTTTGCCTCCCCTCCCCCTACCACACCTGGTGTGGAGTGCGGTGCCTTGGTCTGCCTGACTGTTCGCGGCTCCCGGGTCAGTGGGTTTAAGATTTTTGGCATCTGCCTGATCAATCCCGGTGGCTGCCTGGTGGGATCTGAGTCCCTGGGCTCTGTTGGGTCCCCGGCGGGGGTGGTTGCCCCTGGGTCCCGGGTCGCTGGGTTCTGGGCTCGGCCGGCTAGGGGGTGGGAGGTTGCGGGTGGGCCTGCGGGCATGCCGCTGATATCCCCCAGGACTCTGCCGGCTGCTGGTTGTGCCCCCGGAGCAATCCTCTGCATCTCTCGAGGGGGGCAGGGGCTTTTCTGGTTACAGTCTCCCTGGGGTCCCAGCGCTCTGGGACAGCTCCTGGATCTCTGGGACTTGGAGCTCCCTCCATCTCCTACGCATCTTTGGGGGGCAGATCTGTGGCCCCTCATACTCTCTATTGGACGCTCCTATAGAGAAATCTTACATATACACGCGTGTGTACACACACAGGTGCTCACATGGTGCTACAAATACAGGCCATTTACCACAGAGATTGACTGACAAGATATTTGCGTTTTACTTGAGACCAATGCAAACATGTTGAAAAAAGTGAACTTGGTCTTTAAAACTTGCTTCTCAAATGAGCAGCCTCCTTTAAGAAACCTGTCAGATTTCTGTCAGCAGTGTTTCAGGCATGATTTAGACCAACCCTGATGCTCTGGGCTCGTCTCAGTGTTCTTTCACTGTTGTTCCCTTTTCCATCAGAATAAATCACTACCAACAGAGACTGCAAGCTCTTCACTTCAAGAAGAAGTTTACTGAACGAGTGGCTGAGGTCCAACCAAAAATCACAGGTAAGAGTTCAGTCCTAGACATCTACACTTGTGCTACAGTGGGTCAAAGAAGTATTTGGCAGCTACTGATTGTGCAGCTTGACCCACTTGTATAATGAGAGTTCTGTAATTTTCATCGTAAAGAAAGAAAGAAAATGCAGGAATGTTTTCAGGAGTGTTGATTTTGGACCCATATGCAGTTGAGTGAAGCTCTGAGAGGCAGCAAAGTACTTAAATCCATTTACTGCAGAGACTTGGGAGCACAAAAACTACAGGAACAGAAATGTGTTGACATGGAGAGACAAGGACAACAGACACACCGACACAAGGACTGACAGGGCTTAAATACACTGGGAGGAGGTGATCAGGTTACAAGAGGCAGGTGCAACTAGTTAAACACTAACAAGGCTGGGAGCAGCACGGGACAAAGAAAT